CTCACCATCATAACTTTTGTTTTGTTCTGGAAAAGATTATTTTGCATAATACATGTTATTTATGTGAACATGCAATGGTTTTATTATTTTTTCAATTAATAAACATTTAAAATATCCTAGTTTTAATTTCTTTTTTTAAAAATATAAATCTTTATTGTTGAAAATATTATATATTTCCTTTTTTTAACCCCATTGACCCCTTCTAGCCCACCTCTACACTCCACCCTGGGCCTTCACCACCCTATTGTCTGTGTCCATGGGTTATGCATATATATACACATACACAAGTTTTTTGGTTGACCACTTCCCACTGACTCACCCTCCCCAGCCTTCCCTCTGAGGTTCTGCAGTCTGTTCTATGCTTTGATGTCTCTGGATCTATTTTGTTCACCAGTTTATTTTGTTCATTAGATTGCACATATCAGTGAGGTCATGTGATACATATCTTTCTCTGACTGACTTATTTCACTTAGCATGATACTCTCCAGTCCCTCCATGCTGTCTCAAAGGGTAAGAGATTCTTCTTTTTTACTGCTACAGAGTATTCCATTTTATAAATGTACCACAGATTTTTTATCCACTCATCTACTGATGGGCAAATGGGCTATTTCCAGATCTTAGCTATTGTAAATTGGGCTGCTACGGACAGAGGAGTGCATACATTCTTCCTGATTGGTATTTTGGGTTTCTTAGGATATATTCCTAGAAGTGGGATTACTGGGTCAAATGGCAATTCCACATTTAATATTTTGAGGAAACTCCATACTGTTTTCCATAATGGCTGCACCAGTCTGCATTCCCACCAGCAGTGTACTAGGGTTCCCTTTTCTCCACATCCTCGCCAGCACTTGTCATTTGTTGATTTGTTGATGGTAGCCATTCTGACAGGTGTGAGGTGCTACCTCATTGTTGTCTTAATTTGCATCTCTCCGAAGAACAGTGACTTTGAGCATTTTTTTCATGTCTCTTGCCCATCTATATGTTCACTTTGGAGAAGTGTCTATTTAGGTCCTTTAATTGTTTTTTAATTGGATTGTCTTCCTTTTATTAAGTTGTATGAGTTCCTTATGTATTTTGGCTATTAACCCTTTATCAGATGTATCATTGCCAAATACGTTCTCCCATACAGTGGGCTCCCTTTTTGTTTTGTTGATGGTATTTTTGCTGTGCAGACACTTTTTATTTTGATGTTCTTCCATTTGTTTACTTTTCTCCTTAGTTTCCTTTGCCCTAGAAGATGTATCCATAAACATATTGCTGTGAGAGATGTCTGAGATTTTGCTGCCTATGGTTTCTTCTAGGATCTTTATGGTTTCCTGACTTACATTTAAGTCTTTTATACATTTTGAGTTTATTCGTGTATGGTGTAAGTTGGTGGTCTAGTTTCATTTTTTTTACATGTATCTGTCCAATTTTCCCGACACTATTTATTAAAAAGGCTGTCTTGACTCCATTGTATGTTCTTGCCTCCTTTGTCAAATATTAATTGAGTGTAATGGCTTGGGTTTATTTATTAAATCTAGTTTTTTGATGGAGTCTTTAGGGTTTTCTATGTACAATATCATATCATCTGAGAATAATGACAGTTTTACTTCTTCTTTTTCCAGTTGGATACCTTTTACTTCTGCTTCTCTGATCGCTATGGCTAGCACTTCCACTATTATGTCAAACAGGAGTGGTGAAAGTGGGCATTCTGTCTTGTTCCTGTTTTTAGGGAAAATGGTTGTGGTTTTTGCTCATTGAGTGTGATGTTGGCTATAGGTTTGTCATATATGGTCTTAATTATGTTGAGCTCCCTCTATTCCACTTTGCTGAGAGTTTTTATGAAAACTGGGTGTTGTATTTTGTTGAATGTTGTTTTTGTATCTATGGATATGATCATGTGATCTTTATCTTTCAATTTGATATATGATGTATCATATTTATTTATTTTTTAATTAAATCTTTATTGTTCAGATTATTACATTTGTTCCTCTTTTTCCCCCCCCATAACTCCCCTCCTCCCAGTTCCCGCCCAACCCTCCGCCCTCACTCCCCACCCACTGTCCTCATCCATAGGTGCACGATTTTTGTCCAGTCTCTTCCCGCATCTCCCACACCCTTTTCCCCCCCAAGAATAGTCAGTCCATTCCCTTTCTGTGTCCCTGATTCTATTATAATCACCAGTTCATTCTGTACATCAGATTATTTATTCACTTGATTCTTAGATTCACTTGTTGATAGATGCATATTTGTTGTTCATAATTTGTATCTTTACCTTTTTCTTCTTCTTCCTCTTCTTAAAGGATACCTTTCAGCATTTCATATAATACTGGTTTGGTGGTGATGAACTCCTTTAGCTTTTCCTTATCTGTGAAGCTCTTTATCTGACCTTCAATTCTGAATGATAGCTTTGCTGGATAAAGTAATCTTGGTTGTAGGTTCTTGGTATTCATCACTTTGAATATTTCTTGCCACTCCCTTCTGGCCTGCAACGTTTCTGTTGAGAAATCAGCTGACAGTCGTATGGGTATTCCCTTGTAGGTAACTGAGTTTCTTTCTCTTGCTGCTTTTAAGATTCTCTCTTTGTCTTTTGCTCTTGGCATTTTAATTATGATGTGTCTTGGTGTGGTCCTCTTTGGATTCCTTTTGTTTGGGGTTCTCTGCACTTCCTGGACCTGTAAGTCTATTTCTTTCACCAGGTAGGGGAAGTTTTCTGTCATTATTTCTTCAAATAGGTTTTCAATATCTTTTTTTTAAATATATTTTTATTGATTTTTTACAGAGAGGAAGGGAGAGAGATAGAGAGTCAGAAACATCGATGAGAGAGAAACATCGATCAGCCGCCTCCTGCACATCTCCTACTGGGGATGTGCCCGCAACCCAGGTACATGCCCTTGACCGGAATCGAACCTGGGACCTTCCAGTCCACAGGCCGACGCTCTATCCACTGAGCCAAACCGGTTTCGGCAGGTTTTCAATATCTTGCTCTCTCTCATCTTCTGGCACCCCTATAATTCTGATGTTGGTACGCTTGAAGCTGTCCCAGAGGCTCCTTACACTATCTTCGTATTTTCGGATTCTTTTTTCATTTTGCTTTTCCGGTTGGGTGTTTTTTGCTTCTTCGCATTTCAAATCTTTGACTTGATTCGTGCGCTCCTCTGGTCTGCTGTTGGGTGTCTGTATAATATTCTTTATTTCATTCAGTGTATGCTTAATTTCTAGTTGGTTCTTTATCACAACATCGAGGGTCTCATTAGATTTCTTGTAGATCTCATTAAGTTTATCGGCAGTTTCTAGAAAATTATTGAAAGACCTTAAAAGTGTGGTTTTGAGCTCTATATCCTCCAATTCTGACATTTGTGTCCTGTTTCTTTGTCTCCGCATTTTTTATGCTTTCTTGGTGCACCCCCTAGTGGTCTTTGTGCACAGTCTTGTTGTAGTTAAGCCTTGATTGTTGTAGGTCATACTGGCGGGGATTTGACCTCCAGGCCAACTGGCTGTGCGAATCAGCTGTGTCTGCAGTGGGAGAACTTCTGTCCTCTAGGGAGGTGCTAATCTAGCCTTTGCCTGAGGCTATCCGGCAAATGCCTCTGTGCAGGGCTTGGGCAGGGTGGGTCCCAGGGGATCTACAGGGTGGGCGGAGCGAGCAGTTATGGCTGCTCTCAGTCCTGTCCCCAGGGGCTCTGCCTCTCAGAGTCCCAGCAACTGCTGCAAACCTCGGAGAGAAAGCTGCCTTCGAGTTCCGACCAAAGCCAGACAGTCCCGCTTCTCCTGTTTGAGTCTGGGTCCCTAGAGACTCGCCCGGATCTGGAGCTCAGAGTCTGAGGCTCCCTCCCGATTGAAACAGACAACCGCGCCCTCAGCCGCCCACCCGCTCAGCATGCACTCCGCACCTTAGGATTTTACTTCAGCACTGCGCCTCCTCTGAGTCTCGGTATGCTTTTCTCTTTCCTCCTAGTTGTAGAACTTCCACTCAGCCAGCCTTCCTGTGGTTCTGGATGATGTCCGTTCCGTCTTTTAGTTGTATTTTTGAAGTGGTTGTTCGAGGCAGCAAACTCCGGCGTTAACCTATGCCGCCATCTTGGTTTCCCTGATGTATCATATTTATTGACTTGCTAATATTGTACCAGCCTGCATCCCTGGAATGAATCCCACTTGGTCATGGTGTATGATCTTTTTAATATATTGCTGGATCCAATTTGCTAATATTTTGGTGAGGATTTTAGCATCTGTGTTTATTAGGGATATTGGCCTGTAATTCTCTTTCTTTGTAGTGTCTTTATCTGGTTTTGTAATTAGGATAATGCAGGCCTCATAAAAAGAGCTTGGAAGTGTTCCTTCCTCTTGGATTTTTGGAATAGAGGAGTATAGGTGTTAGTTCTTCTTTTAATGTTTGGAAACATTCCCCTGTGAAGCCATCCGGACCCGGGCTTTTGTTTGCTGTTTTTTTAATTACTGCTTCTATTTCCTCAATTGCTATTGGCCTATTCAGGTTTTCTGATTCTTCCTGATTCAGTTTTGGGAGATTGTATGTTTCTAGGAATTTGTCCATTTCATTCACATTGTCCAGCCTGTTGGCATATAGTTGTTCATAGTATTTTTTTTATAATCCTTTGTATTTCTGTGGTGTCAATTGTTACTTCACTCTTTTGTTTCTGATTTTATTTGTGTCCTCTCTCTTTGTTTCTTGATGAGTCTGGGTAACAGTTCATCAAACTTTTTTAAAAAATATATTTTATTGATTTTTTTTTTTACAGAGAGGAAGGGAGATAGAGAGCTAGAAATATCAATGAGAGAGAATCATCAATCAGCTGCCTCCTGTACACCCCCAACGGGGGATGTGCCTGCAACCAAGGTACATATATGCCCTTGACCGGAATCGAACCTGGGACCCTTCAGTCCACAGGCCAACGCTCTATCCACTGAGCCAAACCGGTTAGGGCTCATCAATCTTTTTTATCTTTTCAAAGAACCAGCTCTTGGTTTCATTGATTTTTTTTTTTTTTTTGAGGAAGGCAGGGCGTTTATTTCTTCCTCCTCCCCCACGAGAAGCCTGACCCCAGGGACCTCCTGTCCAGCACCACTGGGAGGTCAGTTTCTGCCAACATCTGCAAGCAGGTCTTCGTGATAACCCTTGAGCAGCATGTAGTAGACCCGGGTCTTGTCCACGGCCCTGGCCGCCAGCAGCCCTTTCCACACAGATGTATAGTTGCCCGCCCAAGGGCTGTGCTGCACTGTGATGGTGGCCCTGGGGGAGGCTGCCAGTAACCTGGCCACCACCCCGGCCGTGCTCTGGCCCAGCGGCCCAGACTGGAGCTGGAAGGACACACACTGCCAGAGGCCCTTGCTCAGCTCCAGCACATCCGGGAGCAGCTGCTCCTTGTAGCCATTGCCCAGTACCTCCTCAGGCCAGCCCAGGGCCACTGTCACGTGGGGGAAAACCTCAGCCACAGCGGTGAGCAGCTCCTTGCCGGGCACGTAGCCAGGCACTGCAAAGCTCCCATGGGAGACTGTGGCCCCCACCCACACAGGCAGAGAGAAGCAACTGAGGTTGGAGAGGTGGGCCAGCACGGCCAGGGCTGGCAGAAGGGCTGTGGGCTCTGCTATGAGCAAATGGACTCCCCAGCGTCCAGGGTGTGTGGTGAGCTGCAGCAGGCACGACTCCAGCGCCAGGGCAGAGTCACCCGAGGCATACACGATGGGCATGGCATCTCCAGCGCCAGGCTCCTGGAGGCCGACGTTCAGCAGGATCATGCCTTCTTTTCCTGAGAGTTGAACTGTTGCTGCTGTTGCATTGCCCTGGATACCTGGAAGCTGCCACTCCACGCTCAGAGCGTCGCCCCCGGGGAGCTGGAGAAGGGGGATCAGGCTGCCTCCTGTATAGTAACTTTGCTTCCATGTGGCGTTCATTGCAAGCTGCTTGAACTGCGACAGGACAGGCTCGAAGAGGTCATAGTAGATTTGGTGGTTGGCAGAGTTGTCCCGGATGTAGAGAAGATCATCCACCGACACGGGGTCCGAGACGCCCTGCCACAGTGTCAGGCTGTACCTGTCCGACTGGCCCAGCAGCCAGCTGAAATGGGGCCAGGCAGCCCGCGCCATGACAGCCCGCACGGGGAAGGTGACCCTCTGCGGCAGCGCTCCCACCAGCTCCTGCATCTTCTCTATCATGGCTCGGGTGTATGTGCTGTTCGGCAACAGGAGCACGTAGAGGGTGGTCCAGCCTGGAGACAGGGTGGCCTCAGGATACTTCTCCTGAACCAAGGCCAGGAACTGTGTGGCATTGACTTCGATGGAGATGGGCACGCTGGGGCCCTTCAGGATGTCGGCATTGATCCATACAGGCCTCCGGACTTTCCCAGCATCTGTCAGTCTCCGCAGGAGGTCCAGGGAGGGGCCCACAGCCTTGATACTCTTAAAGTCTAGCTTGATACCCTTCTGGGAAGAGGCCAGCACAGCATCCAGCCACTGCTCCAGGGTGTTGTCACTATAGATGAGTGGGGGGTGCGCCATGATGGGAACCCCTGTCTCGTTGGCTGTGTTGAGCTCTTCTAGGTTGACATCCACCTCCAGGACCATGACGTCGCTTTCCAGGGCAGTCCTCATGTCCTTCTGGCTGTTGGCAGCATAGTGTCAGGTGACCAACAGGCCATCCCGCTGGCTGATCTGGCCCAGGCTCAGCAGGTAGTCCAGCATGTCTGCATCTGGGCGACAAACTGCATCCTGCTTACAGCCGTGTGGGAGGGAACAGGCCACTTCGGGGGCCTGAGAGGAGCCGGCAGCCTGGGAAGGCAGGAGGAGCCTGGGAAGGCAAGGTGGTAGGCAGCCCATGGAGGGAGAGGGCAGATGCCTTAAGGTGAAGGGCCTGAGAAGAAAGGCCTGAGGCAGAAGGATGAGGGAGGCTGTTCCCAGGGGGAAAGGGTGAATTTGGCTCAATGCACCGTTTGAGATGCCCACATCACCACTAGGAAGGAATGCCTATTGGGGGCATGGGTGGGGGGGGCATGGTCTGGGCTGAAGACCAAGATTTGGTGTGATTTTCAGGCAACGGAAGCCTGGTGAAGGAGGGAGGGAAAGAAAGCCAACGGGACCTTCTTCGGGGGAGAGGTCTTGGGGTGGTTGGGAATGGGAGAGGCAAATGAAGCTGAATCTTGGTGGGGATGTGGGATGGGAGAGAAGGCCATCACGGCTGTGGCTGAGGACCAGGAGGGTGGGTGACGAGGACAGATTAGATCTGCCTTGTTGGGGACAAGGGCTTCATATATATATATTAGTCTCCATGTCCTTTATTTCTGCTCTAATCTTTATTATTTCCTTCCTTCTACTTACTCTGTGTTTTCCTTGTTGATCCCTTTCTAATTCTTTAAGTTGTAGGGTTGGATAATTTATTATAACTTTTCTCCTTTTGAGGTAGGCCTGTAGTGCTATGAACTTCCCTTTCAGGACTGTTTTTTCTGTATCCCAGAGATTTGGGGTTGTTGTGTGTTCATTTTCATTGGTTTCCAGAAAAACTTTTATTTATTTCTTGATCTCATTGGTAACTCATTCATCTAATCTAATAAAAGAGAAACATGCAAATTGACCATACCTCCGCTACACCCACAAGCCGTGCCCACAAGCCAATCAGGAGCAAATATGCAACTTAACCCAACTAAGATGGCGGCAGCCACGGAGCTGGAGCGAGTAGGAGGCCTAGCTTGCTCCCAGCAATGGAGGAAGTCAAGCTTCCCGCCTGCCCTGCCAGCCCTGAGCTCTGCTCAAGGCCACAAAGTTTCAATTATAGAAGACTAGAGGCCCGGTGCACAAAAATTTGTGTGCTCGGCAGGGGGGTCCCTCTGCCTGGCCTGTGCCCTCTCGCAGTCTGGGACCCCTCGGGGGATGTCCACCTGCTGGCTTAGGCACACTCCCCCAGGGAGAGGGCCTAAGCTGGCAGTCAGACATTTCTCTGGCAGCCTGGGAGCCCTCGGGGGATGTCCACTTGCCAGCGGGGAGCAGGCCTAAGCTGCAGTCAGACATCCTTAGCTCTGCTGAGGAGGTGGGAGAGGCTCCTGCCATCACTGCTGTGCTGGCAGCCTTCAGCCTGGCTGTGGCTGAGCAGAGCTCCCCTTGTGGGAGTGCACTGACCACCAGGGGGCAGCTCCTGCATTGAGCATCTGCCCCCTGGTGGTCAGTGTGTGTCATAGTGACCAGTCATTCCCAGTGGTTCTGCTGTTAGGGTCAATTTGCATATTACCCTTTTATTATATGCCTGGTGCATGGGTGGGGGCTGGCTGGTTTGCCCTGAAGGGTGTCCCAGATTAGGGTGGGGGTCCTGCTGGGGTGCCTGGCCAGCCTGGGTGAGGGGTTGAGGGCCGTTTGCAGGTTGGCCACACTTCCTTCAGGGAGGGGGGTCCAGCTGGGGTGCCTGGGTGAGTGGCTGATGGCTGTTTTCAGACTGGCCACAGCCTCTTCAGGGTGGGGATCCCTGCTGGGGTGCCTGGCCAGCCTGGATGAGGGGCTGAGTGCTGTTTGCAGGCTGGTCAAGCTCCCCAGCAGGACCCTCACCGAGGGTGTGGCCAGCCTGGGTGAGGTGCTGAGGGTAGTTTTCAGGCTGGCCACAGCCCTTTCAGGGTGGGGGTCCCCACTGGGGTGCCTGGCCAGCCTGGGTGAGGGGTTGAGGGCCATTTTCAGGCTGGCCACACCCCCTTCAGGGTGGGGGGGTCTTACTGGGGTGCCTGGCCAGCCTGGGTGAGGGGCTGATGGCTGTTTGCAAGCTGGCCACAGCCCCTTCAGGGTGAGAGTCCCCGCTGGGGTGCCTGGCCAGCCTGGGTGAGGGGCTGATGACTATTTGCAAGCTGGCCACAGCCCCTTCAGGGTGAGGGTCCCCGCTGGGGTGCCTGGCCAGTCTGGGTGAGGGGCTGATGGCTGTTTGCAGGCTGGCCAAGCCCCCCAGCAAGGACCCTCATCCCATGAGGGTGTGGCCAGCCTGGGTGAGGGGCTGATGGCTGTTTGCAGGTTGGCCACGGCCCCCAGCCACCCAAGCTCCCAGTGGAGGCTGGCTGGAAGCAGGTATCTGGGATTTATTTATCTTCTATAATTGAAACTTTGTTGCCTTTAGTGGAGGCCACAGCCGGCCAGGGCAGGCGGGAAGCTTGGCTTCCTCCATCGCCAGGGCAACCAAGCCTCCTGCTTGCTCCAGCTCCTTGGATGCCGGCCATCATCTTGGTTGGGTTAATTTGCATACAGTAACTCTGATTGGCTGGTGGGCGTGGCTTGGGGTGTTGCGAAGGTATGGTCAATTTGCATGTTTCTCTTTTATTAGATTAGATAAATAAACCCCCGATACCTGCTTCCAGCCTGCGTGGCCTCCACTCAAGGAAGCACTGGGAGCCTCCATTGCCAGGGGCAACCC